TAGACTTTCCTCTGCAGCTAGCTTGAGCATAAGCCTAATGCTTTCATATCTCACTGTGGGTGAATAGGTCTCGTGATAGTCTTCACCTGGTACCTGTGCAAAACCTCTGGCTACCAATCTGGCTTTGTGTCTGACTATCTTGCCATTTTGATCTGTCTTCGCTTTGAAGACCCATTTGCTTCCAAGCAGTTTCATTTCTGGAACTACTGGAACTAGCTCCCATGTTTTGTTCCTTTCTAAGGAATCAAGCTCAGCCTTCATGGCATTTAACCATGGCTCAGCTTCCTTTGAATCCAAACCCTGGATTTCTTGGAAATTTGAAGGTTCAAATACCTTCTTGGAGCTTTTAACAGCTGTTACTGCTATCTTAGCAAACTCATCAGCAAATCTCTTTGGAGGTTTGCCTTTTGTGGCTCTCTGTGACCTACGAATTAGCCTTAAGTCTTCAACACTCTCCTCTTCCTTCTTAGGAGAAAAACGACCTATTGTGAACAATGGTTCCTCCAATTCTTGATCAGAGCTTTCAGAGGGTCGCATAGAGGCTTTCGCACTCTTGAAATCCTCTGAATCACCCGATTCAGTTTCAGATTCAGACTCAGAACCTTCATCAGTGGGTGTGGGTTGTTGTGGTTGCTTTTGACTATCCTCAGTCTCATCACCGTCATCAGGATAACATTGGAAAATTCCCACATTCTCCCCCACTTTGCATTGTACTCAACACTTCTCGTGAGCTTAATTGTCTTAGAGTCAGTCATCATTATTCTGTAAGACCCTTTCTGATAACCTAGAAAGATACCATGCAATCCACGCTTGTCTAACTTGGAGTTTTGTGGTGAGTGAACCCACATGTCAGAACCAAAAATCTTCATGTGTTTGATGTATGGCTTTTTGCCAAACATCTTCTCATAGGGGGTACAACCGATCGCTGAAGATAATCTGCGATTGTAACTGTAAACAAAACACGAGAGAGATTCGGCCCAATAACTCTCTGGAAGATTGGCATCATGCAGCAAGGTTTTTAACCCTTGAAGCAATGTCTGATTTGCCCGTTCCACAAGTCCATTCTGCCATGGCGAGCGAGGACTAGACAAATCGTGTTGAATTCCTTTCTCAGTCAGAAAAGCTTCAAACTGCTGAGAAGTGAATTCTCCCCCGCGATCAGTGAAAAGAGTCTTTATCTTCTTACCATGCACATTTTCCAACCAAGCACAGAATTCCTTGAACCTAGGAAAAGCCTCCGATTTCTGCTTGAGATTGTACACAAAAATATATCTAGAAAATGCATCAATGAGAACCATGAAGTATCTATTTTCACCCAAAGAGGGGGCTAGTGGACCAACCAAATCAGCATGAACAACCTGGTATGGTTCTGTAGCTTTCCTACTAGACACCTTACCTTTCGCAGCCATTTTCACCTTGTTTGCTGCGCATGCTTTGCACTTCATGTGGTACTTGCAGGGTTTAATAGTCATACCTTCAACCAAGGCAGGCATTTTAGATACTGCCTCAAAATGCAAATGAGCAAATTTTCGATGAAAATCGTGAATACATTCTGCATGCAAACTTTTGTTAGTACCTGCAATGCAACAAGTGTCATCCTGCACCACATCATCATAATACAAAACAAACAAATGATCAACATATTCTGCATGCAATACATAATCATTTTTCTTAGTGATGATGCACTTCTTGTTCTTGAAGGAAACGTCAATGTTCCGCTCATTCAGCTGTCCAACGCTGAGCAGATTATGTTTGGCGTCTGGCACGTAAAGCACATTCTGTATCGATAAGTCCAAACTGTGAAGAACAACAGTTCCGTAGCCTTTACTGGGAATAGTGTGGTCATCCGCCTGGTGAATCGCACCTTCCTGCGGTGTAAAAGACACAAACAGTTTCTTATCGTTGCACATGTGGTGTGTGGCCGCTGAATCAATTACGAAGAAAGATCTAGACGTCTTCTGGACCTCTGCAACCTTTGGAGTGAAGCGTGAAACCATAGCCTTGTGCTGCGTTGTCCTAGACACCGGACCTTTGCCTTTGCCTCGGCCTTTTCCGCGCGATGAGCTTTCGCTGCGCTGCTCTGTCTTGGCCCTGGGATGTCTGCATTCCCTCTTCATATGGCCTAGACGTCCACACGAGTAGCATTTTACTGCCTTCAAAGCTTTGGCGCCATCTGGTGGTTCCACTGCACTATGGGATGACGTCTGTGAAGACTCTCCCTTGCCCATGCAGCTAGCACCCCGGCGATCTGCTTCATTTAAAATCACGGCAGTAACAAAGTCCACTGTCAACTGAGCAGTTGGTTGCACAGCAATCTGGGTTGCAACAGACTCCCAACCTGAACCCAAAGATTGTAGTATCATAAAAGAATACACAGCCTCTGGAAAGTTGAGTCCTCTCTGTTGCAGCTCATGTCTCAGATTTTGCATCTCCTTCAGATGTAAACGCACATCTCCACCTTCAGCAAGAGCCATATTATGCAGCTTGTTAAAATAAAACATAGTGGATCCAGCTTCTGTCCTTAAATGAGCCTCTCTCAGAGCGTCCCAAATTTCTCTGGCTGAGGTCTTATCACGCAATAGACAGAGCTCTTCTGGGGATACTATCAATGTAAGAGTTCCCCTTGCTTTGGAATCCTTAGCTTCCCATGCATCTGTAACTGGAACTGGGGGGGTTTCTGTAATCACCTCAAACAGACCCTCTTTCCGCAGAATTGCCTCTGCATACTGAACCCAGTCGCTGTAATTTTTCTTGTTGAGCTTAGGAATCCCACAAGCATCCTGAAGGGCCATCATGACTCTGGCATTAGCCTTCAGCGTCATATATATGCTGCTTTAAATCTTGCTGCGTCACTGCTGCAGCTGCCTCATTACAAAGGCACACTTAAAAGTTCCTTTCGATTTCCCCAGCATAGTGACTTGTGCCTGGGAGCCTTTTTCCTATTCCCGGCAAAACCGGCTTTAAAAGTTCAAAGTCCAGCCATAAAGCCATTAACTTGAAGCTGGCAGGCTGCCCGGAGCAGTAGCACATACCTCATCAATCATTTCTACGCGCAGAGCAGATTCCTTTCCGATCCGTCCCTCTGCATTCCGATCCTTTGCCGGCACTCCGATTCGACCTCTGGGCCCATAACCACGTGTTGATTTAAAGCAGAGTCTGTTGTGCCCAGCGGAAGGATGAGGAAAATGTGCTCCATACTCTATATTGCTTTATTTACAGTTCAAAGCTGGTATATTACAGAAAGACATCTTGCGTCTGCAGGAGCAGAGAAATGCATCCTCTCTCCTCTCTCACCTCGGAGAGAATCACTCAGACAGTGAATAACAGGAAACCAGTGTACGTCACATCCAGTCTCCCTTTCCCGTGAGAAACTCCAACAGTACAGACTGTGGAATGTAAACACCTGTCTTGTGACTGCAGTTGCTGCACAGTGAAGGAAAGCAGAAACCAACAATGTACAGTGGTACCTCTGGTTACATACTTAATTCGTTCCGGAGGTCCGTTCTTAACCTGAAACTGTTCTAAACTGAAGCACCACTTTAGCTAATGGGGCCTCCCCCTGCTGCCGCGCCGCCGGAGCACGATTTCTGTTCTCATCCTGAAGCAAAGTTCTTAACCCACGGTACTATTTCTGGGTTAGCAGAGTCTGTAACCTGAAGCATATGTAACCCGAGGTACCACTGTATATTGCTAGCTCAAGAGCCCTCACCGAGACCTGAAGCCCAGAGTCTAAAATTACCTGCCTGCACTGCCGTTGTCAGCAAACCACAGTTTCCAGTGAAGGTAAGAGCTGTTCAAAAGCAGAAGGATGGAGTAAGTGGGCTTTTTCTCCTCCTGGAAGCAGAAGGTGACCATCTGGCAGCCCAGTCTATAGTACATTTACGTAACAGTTACATTCCAAGGCAGCGTGCATTTAACTGAAGTTGCATATATTGGGACCACCATTGAAAAAGCCTGCAAAAAACTCCTTGCTCAGACTCCAACTCTCCACTGGTTTCAAAGGTCAGTACAAAGGCTCATGGGATTGCTAGATGCTGTTTTGCACCATTTTTGTTGCTTTCGCCATCTTTGGGGGAGTCGTTTTTGCCCCTTTAAGTGCCACTTCCAGGTTTGAATAATGCGTGTGTGCACAGCTGTGTACATATTGAACGTGCATAAAATGGTTGTTGCCTGTATTGCAGATCCTGAAATAAGCAGGAAACTGGCTCTCATAAACACCAGCCAGCAAGAATGATGGGAGCTGTTGTTGCAGAGACACCAATCCCCATCTGATCTAAATCAATGCCAGTGTTGTCCAGACCATTTTCCGATGGATGCGACAGGCCTTCTCCTATGGCCTCATTGTTTCCATTTCCCTCACCTTGTTACACCAAGAGTGGCTAACTTGTGGTTCTCCAGATGTTGTTGGGACTCTAACTCCCATCAGCCCCGGCCAGCCAATAGACAGGGATGATGGGAGCTGAAGTCTAACAACATCTGGAGAGCCAAAAGTTAGACACTCCTGGGCACCAGACTACACAGACCTCATGATGACACATTCAATGGATCTTAGTAACATAGGAAGCTGCCTTATTTTCTGAAATATACTCGGAGCCGAGAGTGGATTTCATACTCTTTATTCAGCTCATAGTGGTGAGGAGGAATGAATGTTCCCCCCAAATATCTGCTTTATATACATTATTTACACAATGGGCTGCATGTGATTGGCTAATTCTGGGATTCTCCTGTAGGCCAATCAGGTTGTGGATTCACTTCCACCTGAAGCTGGATTGGGTGGCTCCTGTGGACCAATCATACTGCTGCATTGTTCTAGGACCAAGCAGACTGCTGCATTTTGGATCCTATTGTTCTGGGACCAATCAGACCGCTGCATTTTGGATCCTATTCAACTCAGTACATAACATTCTCAGTCAGGACTCAGGACACCGAACTCAGTATTGTCTACCCTGAATAGCAGAAGCTCTCCAGGGTTTCAGACTGAAGACATTCCCAGCCCTGCCTGGAGATGCTGGGGATTGAATCCAGGCCCTTCTGCATGCCAAGAAGATGTTCTGCCCTTGAGCCATGACACTTCTTACAGTCCTATTGTGTTAAATTGGGCTCCGCTGGCTCAAATGCAAGTATTTCCCCCTAGTTTCCCATGCCCATGTCATTTTTCCTAATTAGCTGATAGGGTTATCAATGCAAAACAACAAAAGCTTAATTCAAATTAACTGGGGGTGAAATGCAGTTTTGGAAAATGGCCATTTTGAAATTATTTGAATTTTTGAACTCCGCTGAACTTATCTCCGAGTAAGCAGATTTAGAAATTGCTTTCAGATTATTTAACAAACAAAGGACTTATGCAGCCCTATCTAATGCAGTGGGAAGTAAATCTCACTGAATCCTATGCAAGTTAAGGGTGCGTAAAATTGAGGGTTTGTGGGTGCTCTGTAGTTAGACAGGGTAGGAGATAATGAGAAATTCTTTGGTGGGATGAAGCCATTGCAGGGTAGAGTGCCAGAGTAAGATGGAGGCAGCCTAGGTTCAAATCCTTACTTATTGGAGAAGTGTGTAGCCTCTTCCCACCTACCTTGCAGGGCTGTTGTGAAACAAGAATGGCTTGTCAATGGCTACATGGCTAAACTCTGTTTCCATGGTCAGAGACAGTAATGCTTCTGAATATAATAATAATAATAATAATAATAATAATAATAATAATAATATATTTATACCCCGCGGCTTCCAACAGAATATTAAAATACAATAGTCTATTAAACATTAAAAGCTTCCCTAAATAGGGCTGCCTTCAGATGTCTTCTAAAAGTCTGGTAGTTATTTTTCTCTTTGACATCTGGTGGGAGGGCGTTCCACAGGGCGGGTGCCACTACCGAGAAGGCCCTCTGCCTGGTTCCCTGTAACCTGGCTTCTTGCAGTGAGGGAACCGCCAGAAGGCCCTCGGCACTGGACCTCAGTGTCCAGGTAGAACGATGGGGGTGGAGACGCTCCTTCAGGTATATGAGTTTCTGGAAAGCGCTGGGGCAGGAGGGAGGAGAAGGCTCTTGTGTTTGGTCCTCTGTGGTTTTCCCACAAACATCACTGACACAATCAGCCATTGGCCTGATCTAGCAGACGAGAGAGACAGAGAGAGAGAGAGAGATAGAGAGAGAGAGAGAGAGAGAGGAGCCATGCCCTTTAATAGAAGAAACATAGGAAGCTGCCTTATACTGAGTCAGACCATTGGTCCATCTAGCTCCATACTGTCTACACTGACTGGCAGCAGCTGTCTTGGGTTTGAAGCAGGGGTGTCTGTCTGTCTGCCAGCCATCCTTGCAGATGCCAGGAATTGAACCTGGGATCTTCTGCCTGCAAGTCGGATGCTCTGTCACTGAGCTCCCAGCCCCTATTGGACAATACTTGGTCTTCACATCCCAGAAGGCAAAGTGAGCTCTAGAAAAGTAATACAGTGGTACCTTGGTTCTCAAATGCCTTGGTTCTTAAACGCCATGGTACTCAAACGCCTTGGTTCCCAAATGCCAAAAACCTGAAGTAAGTGTTCTAGTTTTTGAACGTTTTTTGGAAGTCGAACGTCCGATGCGCTTGTCAGCTATTGTTTCCGGGGCGCCTGCACCAATCAGAAGCTGCGCCTTGGTTTTCGAACATTTTGGAAGTCAAACAGACTTCCAGAATGGATTAAGTTTGGCGCTTTGTTTTTGCTATTTATTTTGCATTTTTATTTTTGAGGCTTTTTTGGTTAATTTGTTTTTGTAACTGTGTGGAACCCAGTTCAACGACTGATTGATTGATTGTGTGACTGTGGAAATGGTTAAAAGCCCCCCATCCAAAGAATGACTATCATCAGTGCAGGAAAGAAAAAAAATTAATTTTAATTTTTATCATCTACAGTACTGTCTTATTTATTTTATAGTACAGTACATTGATTATAGTTTTCATTTTATGGATCTATAGTTCCGTTAGATAGTAAAATTCCTTTTAAATTGCTGTTTTAGGGGTTGTTTTTAAAAGTCTGGAACTGATTAATCCATTTTGCATTCCTTTCTATGGTGAAGGCGCACCTTGGTTTTGGAATGCTTTGGTTTTGGAACGGACTTCCGGTACGGATTAAGTTTGAGAACCAAGGTACCAGTGTATAGCAAAACGAATCCCGGGTCAATGCCTCGGGAATCCTGCTTCCAAACCATTAGAAACCCAAATTGCAGGATAAGGCTGCAAAGCTCCTTTCACTGAGCAGCGGCGAAAGAGGACAGCAAGGGGAAGGAAGGCCGAGGCGACCGCAAGAGCGTCACCAGGGGCTGACTGGGTCGGTTTCTGGAGGGTTTTGCAACGGAGATAAAAGCGCCGGAGGGTAATTGCAAGAGCGTTTATTCTGGCCCCGTGGCCCAGCGTGGGCTGCCTGCAGCCACTTCAAAGAGGTGTTTTAAGCAGCAGTCAAAGCTCAGCAACCAAAAAGAATATCGCACTCCCTGATGCAACAATCCCGCTTCACGACACTGAAAACAGGAAATGCCCAGTATGATCGCATATATTTAACTTACGTTGCAGATTTTCAGCATCCGGCAGGAATGCCCGTGTGTCGCTTTGGCACCCAGGTCCTTTGCAGGCAAGATTGCTTCTGGGGGTCTCCAACCAACTTCCTCCCGCTCCCCTGGGCTTCTGCACATTTCAGAGCCGCCAGGCAAACAGACCTCCATCGGGCTTTCCTAAGCAATGGAGGAAATTTAATCTGGTGCGCCTGGAAACACAGGAGTCCTTTTCGAAATGAAAGCTGGCAGCCGCTCACGTCTTGATCCTGTAGTATTTGCTCGAGGTACATCCTAATGATTGCAGGGGTTGCCCCAACCATTCTGGGCGACTTCCAGCAAAATATAGAAACACAGTAAAACACCAAAGATAAAAAAAACTTCCTTATACAGGGCTGCCTTGCTATAGGATCAGGCTTTAAGCATGCTTTGGATTTCCTTATTGTGGGGCGGACGTGCGGCCTTGAGTCAAACCGCTTGGACTTTAAGTGATATGTGGACTGAGCCATTATTTAGACCGACGCGCAGCGCGATCCTAACCCTGTCTACTCATCAGAAGTAAGTCCTGCGAAATTCGGTGGGCCCCTCTTCTAAGCAAGTGGGTTTTGAATGGCAGCCTTCATCGCCGTGACACTTTTAGGGTTGTGTTAGCACTAGAGGACGCCGGGAGCGCGATTAATTCAGGGATAAGGGAGCCTCTGGCTCGGTAGATGTTGCCGGACTCCAACTCCCATCAGCCCCAGTGAACTTGGCCAGCGGTCACGGATGATGGGAGCTGGAGTTCAGCACCATCTTCAGAGTCCAGAATCCTCACCCCTGAATTAGAGGAGGCAGGAAGGTGACCTCTCTCCGCGTCTTTTCACTCCGCTCCAGTTCCCGCGGGGACGAAAATGCCATTAAAATCAGTGTGGCGCCCTTTTCTCCCAAGGATGAACACCTGAGATTAAGGTGTTTAATCGCCTTAAAAGAGTCAATGCGTGTTTTTTAAAGCCCCGCCAAGGACTGCGGTACCGATTTAGTCACCGGTTAGACTCCTTTTTACTTAGATCGTTATATATCGGTTCATACGCGCGTGTGTGTGTACGCGTGTATGTCTACGTGTACTCACACCTACAGAGAGACTCCAGCTCAGAGGAAAGAAATAGAGTCACGGGATGCCTTTGGGATGGGGGTCATCTATAAAAGGCAGCCGCAGGAAACGGCTAAACTGAAGGGGTAGGAGAGGAAGCGCAGGGGGGACTTAAGGAAAGCCAGAGAAAGCGGGGAGGGCGAGGCGTTGGAGCAACGCCAGGCCGCCTTCAGTTGGGGCAACAAAGCAACCAGCCAGACCAAAAATCAGCCACTTCGCCGTGGCGTGGCTGCCGCAACAAGCCGCAGGCTCCGCGCTGGGGCGAAACTCTCGTTTCTTTTGCAGGGGGGGGGGTCTGGTGGGCATTTACCCTCTCATCTTCACCAGCCTTTCTTTCCGACCATATTGGCTGCTGCTCATCGTTCCCTTCAGCATTGGGTGCGCTGCGAAGGCCCACATTTGTTTGGAAACGCCGCACGAATTTTTGCAGGGTTTTTTTTTGGCTCACGCAGGTGCAAGGCGACCGCCGACGACTTAAGGACTTCTTTTTCTTTTTGTGAAGATTAGACTGTAACCCAAGCCCAGTCACACGTGCATGTGACCTTGCACGTGTGTATTATTAGTAGCATTAGTATTAATTAAATTTGTATACCGCCCTATACCCGTAGGTCTCAGGGCGGTTCGCAACATAAAATCACAGCCATTTCTTTCTCCCAAACCAAATTTAAACACTTACTTCCGTGTAGACCTCTGTAGGCTTGCGCTCTTAGTAAGGCTGCAATCCTATCCATGGCTGCCTGCCTGTTTTCCCCCTCTCAAAACTATAATTCTCAGCACCCTTAACAAAATTACAGCTCCTGTGATTTATTTTTTCCCCTGTGAGGTGGGAATGTGCTTTAAATGCACCACGTGCACGCAGCCCATAACTTGCAACGTAAGAACAGCCTGCAGGATCAGGCCCATCTAGCCCAGCATCTTGCTCTCACGATGGCCAACCGGGTGCCCACGGGAAGCCCAAAAGGAGGACATGAGCGCACCAGCAACTTGTGATTCCCAGCAACGGACATTCAAAGGCATATACAGTCAATCCCCTTTCAAGGCCATCCAAGTTGGTGGCCCTTGCTACTTCTTGTGGCAGTGCGTTCCATAGGTTAACCACGCGCTGTGTGACTTGGGGGAAAAGTACTTTCTGAACATGGAGGTTTCCAGAGCCGAGATTGTGGCCGCAAGGCAGCTCAGGAGGACGGAGCCGTTCCCTGGCTGCAACCCCCGGCTTCTTCTGCTCCAGGAGAAAGAAGAGGGTAAGCAGGAAGCCGAGTGGCTTTGCAGAGCCCAGGTCATCTCCTGTTTTTGATAGGCTCCAAGGCGGCCTAAATGAGCGGATGCGCCTGCGAGATTGGGGGCCCAAAATAGAAGCGCCTTCAGTATTTTAGGATCCAGCAGAAATCCTTATTTCTTCCGGAGGGGGAGAGAGAGAGAGAGAGAGAGAGAGAAGAAAAGGAGCGGGGGGAGGGAGGGAGAAAAACACACACACACTCCATAATGAGCCTGAGCGCTTCCCTTCTCGATATTTGTGCAACTTTATCTCGACCGGCAAGTTGCGGGGGTGACGCAAATCCGCCCCTGTGTATTACAACCACGAAAATAAATGCGAGGAAACCAATTCCCTTCTAGCAATGAAAACATAAATATACAGCTGCGACTTTTCCCTTTAATCTTCCCATCCGGGGGACTTCGCGAAAAGTCCCCGATGAACTCGGAGGGGAACTTAGCCCAGGCAGGCAGATGGGATGGAGAGCAGGAGGAGGCCAGGAGAGAGATTCGCAGGGGAGGGAGGGTGTGTGTGTGTTTGTGTGCACAATTTTAAAACTTCAAAAATAAATCCTGACTAACCCCCCACAGAGCGATTGCCACCCTTCTTTCTGCCATTGGTAAATCCAACTCAGTACTGTTTTCACTGACTGGCAGCGGTTTCCCGGGGCTCCAAACGGGGGTCTCTCTCACTCTCTCAACCCTACCTGGAAATGCCATGTGAGCCACGGCTGCCCCGCCCCCTCAATTTATTTTCCCGCTAGGAAAATTTATGTCCCAGCTCCGGTGACAGGCTGGATGCCCAAACCTGCAGGCAGCGGACTTTGTTTGTCCATTTAATTGCACGTCTTCCAAGGAGCTCAAAGCAAAGTCTCCTTGGAAGAAAATTCCCAGGTATAAAGAGGCCTTTCCTCGCTGGAGGTATTTATGCATAGGCTAGACGGCTATCCGTCAGGGATGCTGGTGTAGCTGCACCCTGTACTGTAGATTCTGCGTCACTTCTGTCTATGTAATTAGATAGCCGCGCCCTCTTCTCAAATCTCACAGCAACCCTGTGAGGTGGGCTAGACTGAAAGATAGCTGACAATGTTCCACTGTCCCACAATTCGATTAAGGTCCATTTGATCCAGCTTCTAGCTTCTAACAACGGGCAGCCAAGAAGGATCACAAACAGACCCGAAGGCGATGACCAGTCGCTGTTATCTGTCTTCAGCATCTGGTATGTACAGGCAAACTTTATCTGCCCGTGGAAGCTCTGTGGCTAGTAATAGTGGACGGACACATTGTCCACATTGGCAGGCTAATAGTAATAGTAGTATTAGTAAAGCTAAGGGTGCTTTCATCAACCACCTAACTTAGAGGTAAGCAGGGAATCCTGGGGCAGTGAGTTCCGCAAGTCAAGTCGTGAAGAAGCACTTCCTTTCCTAACAGGGCAACAATATTCTGGGTGAAAGCTGCTTTTCTTTCGCTTTTTCTCTGGAGAGAAGCGATTTCTGGGTGGTTGTGGGTCTTTCGGTGCTCTTTCGAAAATAACAATAACAGACGGCTCCCACCCCGCGAAGAATTCCCCCACCAGGGCCGCAGCTTTCCCTTCCCGCTCCATCCAAGGCGCGAGGAGGCGCAGCCCGAGGTCAGCCTTTTCATTGTAGCATATTTGGGAGAGTATTTCCTACAAGTTATTTTTAGATATCCTTAGGCATTTAAAAGTTGATCGAGCGGTTTCCCTTCTCCCCTCCCCCGCACCTTTCCGTTCCTTTATCCAAAATGTGCTCTGCCTCGCCCCCCCCCCCGATTATCCAATACACACAAAATAGATTTGGGGTCGTCGGCAGATCGGCTTCCTTTTTAGCACGGCGGCGAAAGGGCGAAGGAAAACGTTTCGTTGTGAAGGCCAGAGGCCCAACTCCACCTCTGTGAGCCTAGAACGTGGTACCCATATAATATATATTTCATATTATTTCGCACATCGCCGCGGTGATTTTCCGAGGGGGTGAAATTTGTCTGTTGTTTTTGTTGTTGTTTTTTACTCCTTCCAAACTAAACAATAGTATCTATCCATGAGACACTGATTCGTGTAACTGACGAGCCAGTTCGCCATCCCTGACCTTAAATCGATCTCGACTCAGTTGCAACTTAGAACCGTAGGTCCCTGTCCAAACATGTTTACTTGAAAGTAAACCTTCCCTGATGTTCCTGTTCCTTAACTGAACCGATTTAGAAAGGAGGCTTCAGGCTGCGCTCTTAATACAACCATATCCAGGGAAGCGGAGTCCCGTTGAAACGAAAGCGAATGACTATCATTTTGCTTTTTAAGAGTCTTTTTAAAAAAACATTTCTGCTAGAACAGGAATAGAGAGCCTGCGACCCTCCAGATATTGTTGGACTACGATTCCTATCCTCCCTGACCGCTGGCCTTGAATGAGGCTGATGGGAGTTGGAGTCCATAAAGATCTGGAGTGACTCCGATTCCCAATTCCTGGTCCAGAATGGGAATTCTGGGGATGCGGGCAATCCTCCAGAATTTGTCCAACCTCTGCCTTTTTCATCCTCTTCACCGGATTGAGAAAAGGGCTGTTTTTGCTATTCGAAATCCACCCACCCAGCAGTTAATTGGGCTTTTGTAATGTTTTCGTTTTCAGTAAATCAATAAATGGGACTTTCATCCCCCTCACTCACTGGCAGTTCTTCCGCTAGCTGTCATGGAAAAGGGCTGCAGCCACGCAAGCCGGTCCTCATCCAGGTGAAACCGAAGTCCCTGGGCCATGATCCAAAGAAATAAATCGCTTTTGATTTCAGGGGGAAAGTCCTTTAGTCACATACATGGTTGAAACTAGCGGAATCCCAACTTTGAAACGGACGGCTTCCCTTATTTTTTAGAGGCGGGGATCCTTACACTGAAGCAATTCCAATTATCTTCGGTGGCATTTACTCTCAAGTAAAGATACTCAGGGTTAGGAGCTCCTTCACACCGTAACACTAATTCATGGGAAGCAAACCACAGGGATTTACGTTTAGAATTCCCCGAAAACCCGCCTGCTTTATTGTAACAGGGATTTGGATAGGGGTGCTATTTATTAAAATAAATCCTCAATGTTTGTGTAGGAACTTTGCAAGGTGAAGTTTTGCAACTCCTCTCTGTGTGAATAATGTGATTTTTACCCCCTGAAAGAATTGGTTTTCTCTTTCACTCATGACCTTACATTATTGATATTTGGGCTGTGATCCTAACTACGCTAGCTTGATAACTGGAGGAGTTCCGTCGAAATTGAGCTACCACCCCTAGGATCCAGTCGCCAAATATCCAGTCAAATATCCAGTCGCTGGTGATCAAGTCGCCGATCATATCCATGATCCTCAGGGAAGTATGGATTCTTCTCCCTTGGATGCAGGCGCCCTCCCGTATTCTTCAGAGGACTGCCTGCTGTGTCAGTTTCAGCCTAATAATATTCATCATATATTAATAGAAAACCACAATTGCAATTGATCAGAAGTTAGAAGCTGCAGTGATTAAATACTAGGCGTCCAAGAATGCTACCCATTTTTTTCTTCTAGATGCTGAGAGGCCGCACCTCCCTCCCGAAGCACAATCGTGTGCCATTATGAGTGAACAGCACTCACTATCGTGCACAAATCTGTACATTAATCCGTGCATAATTTTGATTCTTGCAACAAAGGAAAAACAGCTCCCAAAGAGCTAAATGGCACTTGCTCCCTGAGAAGTCTGCACGCGATAGCAAGCGGTTGTTATTCCCCCCTCCCCGAAAGATGTATGGACACGTCGGTTTTATCGTGCAGGGGAACGGTACCTCGAAAGGTTTAAATCAGCTAAGCTTCGTCCTGTTCAGAAGGATGGAAACATGTTAAACCTAAAGAGACCCCAGCTTCATCCAGGTGCGGGGCGGATACTAAGGGAAATTAACAGGCTGCAGAAAAAGGTGACAAGTCGAAGAAAAACGGAGTGGCTTTTGGCACAACCGACTCTGCAGTTTTGACAGGTGAAATGTTAAAATCTATGCATGAGATTCATGAAATACTTTTAACGCTGGGGTATGTCTTCCTGGCACTTGATATTCAAAACAGCACGCCGAAGGATGTGCTTACTCTCCTGCAGCCATGTCCAGAGAAACACTCTTTTACTCCTGCGTTAGTTAACACCCCTTTGAATCGAGGATTGTGAGGCTTCCATTCAACAACTCTTTCTCTCTCTCTGTCCCCTCTCTCTGTGTATCTGTGTGTGCGCACGCGCGCGCGTATTTTCAAAAGAGCTGCACACAGCCCAGCCAGCCCTGGCTAAAGCCATTTAAGCCCCCTTGACGTCAGTGGGAAAATGACGCGCAGGTAGCACACCCTCTCCCGTGGAAATCAGTGCCTCATTCCATGCAAAACTTGTGTGACTGGTTTTTTTGGGGTCTTTGAGTCTCTACCTGCTCAGTGAAAAATCTTGCCATTTCCTCAACATTCAACCATTTAAAAATAAACCGCCTGCCTGAATGCAAATGCCTTTAAATAACCTCCACTTTATCCTCAGCGCATTACAAGAAACCTTTCTGAAGTTAATGGCACTACTTCTGCTTCGACTATGGCTGTCAGTATACAGAAAAGATAGATTAAATGCTTACGTTATCAAGCAAATGTCAGCTCCTGTCTCTGTTTAAACCGTATGCACAACTTACAGTGCAATCCTAGGCACGTCTACTCGGAAGTAAGTCCCATTGTGCTCACTGAGATTCACTGCCAGGAAAGTGTAAATAGGATCGCAGCCTTATGAAGTGTATGTATGCCTCTTGGTTTTGTGGGAAGACAGACTTAACTGATGATAGATTTTAAAACGTAATTTTAAAATGAAAAGCAACCTTTTAGTAGGATTCTCATTCACTTGAGCGAAGCGCCCTCTTCTAGTATTTCTGTTTAAACCCAGACTTTTTTTTGTCTAAATGGAATTATTTCGTCTTAACTAGTTGCTGGATCTGCAGGAAGCATACTGTATACCTTTGACTTTGGCATTTATTTTTTAAAAAATAGGATACCAGACATTTAAAGTTCATCACTTTGAGGATCAACTGACTTAAACGGGAGAGTTAAGCACTGAAGATTAAACACCATTTAAACATTCCCATTGAACTCAGTGGAATAGAACTTTGGGTGATCTGGTAGAATATTGCGAATTCGACTGCCGTGGTTGTCCTAGGCATCCTATCGGAAATAATCTCTACTGAACCCCATGGGACTCACGTCTGACTAAACATACATAGGAATGCACATTTACATTTTTATCACATAGAAATCAAAGGTCACCTATCTGGGCTGATATTTTTTGTTTGTAGCGCATTCTGAAGCAAAGGTTCGTATTGTTTGCGCTACCGCTCTCTCTTTTGGCGAGGGCTCTCTCTTTCTCTAAATAAAACATTAAAGTGTTTTACTGCACATTATACGAACCTGCCTTTTCCGGGCCAGACCATTAGTCCACCTAGCTCAGTACTGTATTGGTCTTATCTACACTTAACAGCGACTCTCCAAATATGTTTACAGGAACTCTGTATTTTTTTCTACGCTACCTGGAGATGCCAAGGATTGAATTCGCGATTCAGCATGCAAAGCAAGAGCCACCAGACGGGGCCTTTCTGCCCTGCCTGAACAATTCAGAAGCTCAATTTGTTTTCAGGAAGCAGAAAGACATCTCTATGAAGGTTTAATCTTTCTTCCCAGTCCGCAAAATTTTAGACTGAATTAGAGAAGGAGACGCCCTTTCCATTAAATTATAGAGATCGAAAATCTGTGGCAGCGCCTGATACTGCTGGACTCTGACTCTCAGCAGCCGCCACCCCAAAGGTCCAGGATGGTGAGAATCGTGGTCCAGCTACCTCCCCCCCCGCCCCGCTAAGGAGGCCTCCTCGCTCCCTCTTCCTCTTTGAAAGCGGCGTTGGGAGGAATGCGAATTGACTCCGGATTGTTCACCGCCTCCAGGAAACGGGAAGAAAGGCAGGGCAGGGCAGCCCTGCGTCGGACCTCTTTGCGCCTCCGCCTTTGACAGGGTGCAGCAAAGAAGAGCCATTGCAGGCTTTTGAGTCAGAATCTTCCCCCTTCTCCTTGGCGCAGGCAGAAGCAGAGGGCATCCCTGGCTCTTCCTCATCCTTGGCGCGCAGGAGGCGTGGCTCGCCGCCGCCCCGCCCCTTCGCCCTTCCTCGGCTACACCTCCGCTCCTCCGATTGGTCTCCGGCCGCCCAATCCGCTGCCAGGAGAAGAAGTCTTTGCTCTTTTGACGCCGCGTTCGAAGGAAAGAAAAAAACCTGGGTTGGGGGGGAGGCGCTGCTTGGCGGAGCGAGGTGGGCGGGCGGCTCCTTTTCCTTTTCTCCGCGTTCCCCTCCTCCTGCTCGAGAGGGGAGTTTCTGGCGCGGCGGCGCCTCCCCCGCGCCTAGTTGTTGTTATTTGGTTTGACGCGCCTGTCTTTCCCCGCCGGCTCGCCTCGCACAGCGCTGCGTGTCCCCGCTCGGCTCCCCCAGCGATGCGCGCAGGCCGAGAGGCACTCGGGCGCTGACGATCTTCATTCGACGGCCGCGGACCTTTTCCTCCAGCGGCAGTAGCAGCAGCAGCAGCCGGAGCCGGGCGTGGAGGGCTCTCCCTGGGCCCCGGCAGGATGTACACGGCCGGCCTGGCGCCCTTTTACGCCTCCAACTTCAGCCTGTGGTCGGCGGCTTACTGCGCCCCGTCGGGGCCCGGCTGCTTCCCGCTGGATCCGTCGGGGCTCAAGAAACCTTCCTTCTGCATCGCGGACATTCTGCACGCCGCCGCCGCCGCCAGCGCCGCCGGGGAGGCGTCGTCGGTGGACGGGCTGCCCGGAGCGCCCGCGCTGGCCGCGCACCTGGGGGCCGTGCATGCCCACTCGCAATTCCACGCCGCGGCCTCCCCGCTCCGGCCCACGCCCCTGGTGGCCCCCGACGGGGCCGTCGCCTTCCCCGCCCGCCTGTCGCCTCTCTCCGCTGCTTTCCACCACCCTCACCCGCAGCAGCAGCAGCACCGCTCTCCCGGAGGAGGCAGGGGCCCCAGCCACCAGACTCATCCCGGCTCGGCGCCCGCGCCCTCCAGCAAAGACTTGAAGTTTGGGATTGACCGCATTTTATCCGCCGAGTTTGACCCGAAACTCAAGGAGAGCAACACGCTGAGAGGTAGAGAGAAAGCCGAGGGTTTATTTTGTTTTATTTTTTAAATCCCCATCCTCTTCCCCATCCCCACCCCACTGGTGAATTTAAGGAGTCCTGCTTCTGAAGCAGGAAAGGGGGTTTGTGCGGATTGACAGGGAACCCTCATTCATTCCAATGGACGTTGAGCGCAATTTCGCCGTCGATCGTGCTCATAGCTGTATCGATCTCGTGCGTGTGTCTCTGTTTGTATAAAAATGCATGACTCTATGGATAATTAAATAGGGAGGCAGTGAGACAGATAGGCAAGCCCCTCCGATTTCGGAGTTTGATTCCTGGAATTATATGTATGGAAATATTAAATGATAGCCATGTCCACAATTTAAAAGATTCGTGCCTTAGAAGAATAACAAGAAAAGTTGGCATAACTGTCAACTTTTCCCTTTTCTTGCGAGGAATCCTATTCGGAATAAGGGAATTTCCCTTTAAAAAAGGGGAAAGTTGACAGCTATGCAGCCCGGTTCAGCTCCTGGCATTTCAGGGCCCCTGGAGAAGGGCTGTGGTGGGTACCCTAGCCAGGAAGGCGAGCGTTATTTCGCCCCTGCCCTTCATGTGGCTCCCCCCCGGGGGGGGCATCTGAGTTGACCACGGTGGGCTGGATTGTCCTTTGGTCTGATCCGGCTGGGCGCTTCTAATGTTCTCAAGAGAAATGGTGATTCTGGCGTCCTTCACCAGTTCGTGGATAGGTAGGTGCAACCCCGAGTATTTGCGCTGGGTGAAACGTAAATTTCATCGCGTAATCGACGTGCTCTTCGGGTGGGGAAGGAACCCAGCGCCTTCATATTTGTGCTGGTTGTTGCTCAACGGAGCGCCCAGTTGAGCAATCGACTTGCCTAAATGTTTCAGAAAGCAGCAGCAGCAGCAGCAACAAACAGAGGCCGCCAGCCTCCCCATTCCGGCACGTATTTACTTGGAAGTAAGTTTCTTGGATTTCGACATTGCAGTGAAAGCATGCTTAAGCTCACTTTCTTTTGAAACCAGTGCGAATAAATAATCGACGTATTTCTTTGGTCCCATCCCCAAACAACCTCAATTTTGGGATTAATCTTTGGGGCAGTGGGGTCTGGGCGAGAGAGAAAATGACCTTGGGGGCATATCCAGTCCAAAGACTGCCAACTCTAGCCTGGAGGCCTGGGGCACTGGATGGAAATAATATCCCATTGCAGTCAGGGCTAAATATTCCCATTGATGCGAACAAGCAGGAACTGTACCCAAGGTGGTTTCACTTCTCCATTTGGTAAATGGGTCGTCAACGCTTGAATTCCGAGGGTGACTCACAGACAGACCTCTTCCCTTCCAGTGGGATTTTTGAGAGCCCCCCCCTAAGTCATTATTGGTGCTGCTGTTGTTATTGTTGTTATTCTCTCTCGGAACCATGCCAGATCCACTCCATAGCTAAGGCAGATCGGTTGGATCAAAACTCAGTGGGCCCCAAATCTTCCTCTACACGCTTGGCTAAAAAATAAAAATCCCTTGACCCCAACGGAACTTCTCTGCCAAGTCAATGTGTTCGCCATTCCCTTCGGACATAAATCCAAGAGTGTCGGGTTAAAAGTGTGCCGGATCACGAGTGAGAGCTCAATCCAGACGTGTTAGTGAAACTAATAATTACAGAGAGTGAACGCAGCTTTTTAACAGGGGCGAGGGTGCTGAGAGAAAGGCGTGTGTTTTCACGGTAAAGCGCCTCTATACCCCAATAATGTTGGTTTGGAGATTCTGCTCAGATCCGCCAATCCCCTTTGCTTCTTCCTTGCTCTTTCTCCCAACACCTTCTGCACTGGATCTTGCGGAATAGGAGGATCGTTCAAACCACCCCGAGCCAAAGAGCTTAATTGGGGAAGTTAATGTTCCCATTTATTCCCATCAAACCTGCCCTGGTAAAGGGGCAGAGCCGCATGGTTAGTTCTCTGGGTTACTTCTCGACTTCAGTCCGGAGTACCCCCGCAGGAAAAAAGTTGGGGATTGCAACCCATCCTAAGCAAAACCACAACAACCCATCACCCGCATCCTGAACCTAAGAAGGTTTACCCGGGAGGACAGTCCCATTGCTTTCAACCGGACAGGGGTGGGGAGGGCTCGCTTCCAAGTCAAAAATAAAATTAAATATCTGTAACACCGTGGGCGGATGTAAGTGAAAAAGGCAGCTTCAAGGCTCCGAGCCTCCGCACACATTTACTCGGGAGTAAAACCATTGAACGGAACGGTGCTCCTTCTGGGTGTAATTAGCAGCCTCGCCACCGTCCAACAACGTCGTGCAAAAGCCCACCATTCTTCCCGTCTGCCTAGACAAGGGTAAGCCGCGCTCCCGGCAGGGTAGGACTTTGGGGGGGGGTAGAAGTGGAGCCCTCCTCTCAGCAAATGAGCAGCAGGCTCCCCAAGAACAGCAGGATTGGCTCCCCGTATTTCCAAGTGAGGGAAGCAAAAGGCACGACCGGGCGGGGGATCCCAAAGAAGGGCCTCTCCATAAGACCTAATTCTGCCCAGAGTCTAACCTGCCTTAACCTGGCTGCGAGGGGCTTCAGGGAACGTGCGCCTTTTCTCTCTCCTTGCCTTCTTCTGTAACCGAGCTCTCCTTGTTCCTGTGCCCGCAGATTTGACTTCCTTATTAACCACCAGCCGCCCATCTGGGGTTCATCTCCCCGCCTTACAGCCTCCGGCCGGCCAGTTCTTCGCGTCTCTAGAGCCCATTAACGAGACCTCCGCGGTCCTGGGGCCTTTAAACACAACCCCAAGGAATTCCGTTCAGCACCAGTTTCAAGACACTTTTCCAGGTACAGACGCACCCTTCTTTTAAACCCGCACCCAGCGCGCACGGGGCGACCCCCTTCTGCCCCAAGCCATCCTTTCGCTCTGCTCTCCGACGATCGCATTCCCAGGAACGCGCGCGGTTTACTTGGGAGTAAGGGCCGTGGGAGTCAATGGGACTTATGGCCAAGCAAACCTGCAGAAGGCTCGATTAGGCGCCAGATCCTAACAACCGCGCCGTCCAAGCGCGCGTTCTTTAGGATCGCGGTAGGGCGCCATTGCGAGTTTTCGGTGGTGGCAGCGGTGGGCGGCTGTGAGTGCCCAGCTCCTAACCGTGTGTGTAGGAACGGTGTGGTAAGAGAGAGAGCCTTGAGGATTGAGAGGGGGTGCTTGCGAGAATTTGGCCCCCCTCGGCCTTGCCTAAAAGCAATCCTAAAAGGCTATTCATACTTGGAAGAAAAGTTCCCATGGGATCCACGGGCTGCTTACACTGCAAAGAGAAGTAAGTGCTGTTTGGAAAGTCATGAGTTTACAGGTAGCTCACCTTCAGGAAGAATCGGGGAACGGGAGGGGATCTTCAACAGACCTGATCTCCAACACTAACGGTGCCTAAAAGTAAAATAAAGGTCGAACTCATGTGTAGGCTGAACTCATAAAGTGGGCTGGGAGGCTGGGGTGAGTGCTTTGAAATAAATCGAGAGTACCCGTTAAGTGTTGTTTTGCAAAAAAAGGTGCAATCTATTGTTAGGATATTCCCTAAGAGACCCATGGGTCTTTTATTAGTGCCCGAATCGTGAAGGTGTTGGGCTACCAGTGCGCCCCACTGAACGCGCTTCGCCCTTTGCTTCTTCGGCGCCCCGGCCCCTCATTCAACACCTCTCTCTCTCTCTCTCTCTCTCTCTCTCTCTCTCTCTCCATTCCTCCCTCCCTCCTTCGTTGGTGCCTTCCTTCCACCCTTCAGGGCCCTACGCGGTGCTCACCAAAGACACGCTGCCTCAGACCTACAAGCGGAAGCGCTCGTGGTCCCGAGCGGTTTTCTCCAATCTCCAAAGGAAAGGCTTGGAGAAGCGCTTCGAAATCCAGAAGTACGTCACCAAGCCGGACAGAAAGCAGCTGGCAGCCATGCTGGGACTCACGGACGCGCAGGTAAGCGCTTGCGCGTAGCGCGGATCCCTGGTTCGACGCGCCAGGGAAACAGAAAACGGGCATCGCAAGGTTAGGATCGGGTTAACCCAACAATCAGTGAGATGTAGTATCAGTAAAAGTCTAGATGAGAGGACATTTCCCCTTTATTTCAAGAGGGCAGGCCTTTAATAATCATCAACACCATCTTTATGATGTTTTACAAATTCCAGAGAAATAGGGGTGACACACACACACACGAGTCTTACGCCACTTTAAAAACTGTTTGATTGTGGTATAAGCTTTCTTGAACTAGAGAACCCACGTAGTGAAATAAACGGGAAGCTCGTCCACTAAGGCTGCAATCCAGGGCATGTTTAGGATTTCCCTGCAAAGCGTGCGCTCGATCCAAGAGAAGTTCCTCTGAAGCCTTACATCTTTCTTTGCCGAGTTTGTTTGCGTTTGCTTCTGCGTAAACCAAAGCGGAGGTTTCTCCCCCTCCCACCATTGCAATCTTGAGAGCTAGCCCCCTTTGCGTCCAGCCGCACTGTTGGTGGGGAAATCAGCAAAGGATCAGGCTGCGCGTTTGGGACGGCGGGGATTAGACAACCGCGGGCAGGCGGAGAGAAGAGAGCCATTGAGATACTTGTGCTCCCCACCCCCCTCGCCTCGGGCTTAATTTGTAAAGTATTGCAGCGTTAATATGAGGTATCTTCACATTGCTTCGTGCTTAGTAATGCAGTAAATACATGTCGATTTGCTGAAGCGAGCAAAGAGGGGGAAAGGGACCAGAAGTTCACGCGAAGATTTATGTCCGTTACACCCGGAGTGTTTGTTTTGGCTGCGAGTGGGAAAAGCCAGCGAGGAAGGACGAAATTGGCTGCGAAGGGAGATGAGGATTGGGGGCTTCGACTGTGAAGTGCAGCCGTGGAAGGAAACGCAACTAAAGAAGCGGAGAGGCCGTGTGATATTTCGGCCTTGTGAAATGCTACTTTGGAGGCAAGCTGCTGACTGTTAGACAAGGTCGAGGTGTTTCTGGTAGGAGCGGTGGACTCGTAACCTGGTGATCCGGTTGGATTCCCTGCTCCTCCACATGCAGCTGCTGGGTGACCTTGGGCTAGTCACACTTCTCTGAAGTCTCTCAGCCCCACTCACCTCACAGAGTGTTTGTTGTGGGGGAGGAAGGGAAAAGGAGATTGTTAGCCGCTTTGAGACTCCTTCAGGTAGTGATAAAGCGGGATATCAAATCCAAACTCTTCTTCTTCTTCTCTTCTTATGGGTGCAAAATCTTGCAAGCCAAACACCTTTCTCCTTGAGAAACCAGTGTCTCTCCACCCTCAAATGAGCTGTGGAACAGTCCAGCAGGACTCAAGGATATCCTCAAGGGATTTTTCAAAGTACTTTTCCAGCCCCTTATTTCATTGTAATGGAAAATATTCTATAGGATATATAGCATCTAAGGCTATATGTTTGTGGTGTGTGTTTTTCGGAGTCTAGGGAAATATATTGGAATATATTTCTTCTGGAATACACACAGAATGTTAAGGTGTGCTGAGGAATGTTTATTTATTCATTCATTTCTTTTACATCCCGGCTTTTTCTCTAAGGATTTGAAGGCGGATTGCATAGTAATAATAATAACACATAATAAATTTTTATTTATACCCTGCCCTCCCTGGCCAGGGCTGGGCTCAGGGCGGCCAACTCCAAACATGAATTACAATAAAACGTAATAGAAAACAAACAAACAAACAAAACAACAACAACAACAAACAGTTAATTAAAATATGGCTTAAAATACAGCTTAAAATGCAGCCTCATTTTAGTAGTAGCCCATAAATCAAGACCATAATGGGAGGAAACATCAGATATTCACCTGAGCCAGCTATCCATGCTGGTCCTACTTGGGCCAGCAAAAAAGCCAAGGGAAAATTTATATACCAAATCCCATATAAGGGGTCAGAGTGAGTCAAAGTCAAAGGCCAGGCAGAACAGCTCCATCTTACAGGCCCTGCAGAAAGATGGCAAGTCCCGCAGGGCCCTAGTCTCTTGTGACAGAGCGTTCCACTATGTCGGACCAGAGCTGAAAAGGCCCTGGCCCTAGCTGAAACCAATCTAACTTCCTTGAAGCTTGGGACCTCCAATGTGTTGTTATTTATGGACCTTAAGGTCCTCTGTGGGGCATACCAGGAGAGGGGGTCCCGTAGGGTCCATAGTTCTTATTTAATCCCCACAACAACCCTAAAGGTTAGGTTAGGCTGAGAGCGAGCGACAGGCCCAAGGTCACCCAGTGAGTTTAAGGGCTGAGTGGAGATTTGAAACCTGGACACACTAACCATTGTACCACATGTACTATTTTCATTCATGTTAACATAATTATATGCTGGACCCTACCTTTAAAAAGGATCAGGTTACCAGTGTATAAACTGGTCCCAATCCAATTAAAGTTAATTTTCAGAATTAATTTTCAACCAATCAATACTTTAGAGTAAACATATACAGGATTATGCTTCAGGGTGCACCAAAAGTAACGGGATAAATTAGGTTACAACCCTAGTTACCTGAGAGTAAGCCCCATTGAATTCAATAGGCTTTACTTCTGAGTAGACATGGTTAGGATTAAGCTCATGACTATATTTTGTGGGATGAGGGGGCATATAGGTATAATAAAGAATACACTATGGCTGCAGTGCTGTGCATGTCCTACTGAACATCAGAGTTTTGGCTTTCTATACAGTGGGGCCCAATCCAATGCAGGATTAGACTTCACCATGTTGAAAACTGCATAATTGTGACCACTGAAATTGAGAAAGGCAGTCATCTATAGCTGCTAAATCTGTATCTATCAAATAAATACATTAATTAAATATAAATAAATCAATATTATGTAACCTCTTGCACCTAAGAGAACAAGCACAAATAAAGGAGACATCTAGGACATGATCCAACCAAAATCATGCACACTCCAGCCCCTCTGATTTCAGTGGGAGAGTTTATATATGTTTACCAGTATGATCATATGCATATTAGCTCAGAAGTAAGCCCCATTGATTCCAATGAGACTCACTCCCAGGAAAGTGTGTATGGGATTGCAGCATAAATTTCTCCTGGTTGAAAGCAGTGGGGTTTGAAAGAGCTTGCCTTGGTCTGTGCCCTTGGTTTCTATAAGGATAATCCTACTGTCACTTGGGAAAGACACACATACATGAAAAAATGCAGCCCCAAATCGTCGGTGTTAACATATTTATGTTCAAGTAGCGTTTGCCTATGGAATATCAGAGATCAGCCACAAAGCCAGCAACATTGATTTCAAAGTGCAGCTGGTCTGCTGTTGCCTTGCCACCCAAGCTAGTCTGGCTGCAGTGAATCTGGGACTCCAGTAGAAAATTGGCAATAATTTATTCTAACCCTTATGTGAGTTTCCAAGCTGAGCACTGTACTGTAGAGCCTGCTAAACAACTAAATATCAGTAATGAAAATACTTTTAGCTAAAGAAGAGAGAGAGGGGCATGGGATTGGAGGGAGCGGGGAATAAGGGACTGTGGTGTTCTATTGTGACAATGTGGAAGGCCTAATAAGCTATACAGTAGACACATTGATTTCAAAAGATCACTTCCTCAATGATATTTGCCTGGATAATGCAGAGATAGCAACTGCCATCCACATAATATACACTGAGTTGTTTATTCAACATTTAGATCTATTCCAAGTACATCCATTGAAATCAACTCACTTAGGCTCATTGATTCCATTGAGTTTGCTCTGAGTATATCTGAGTTGGAAGTATATCTTTGTTCCAGCAGACTGGCTTTCTTTTCCTTTTCCTTTTTAATTGAAGTGTATCCATTCAATATACTCAACCCCAAGAGAGAACTACAAAGGACTCTGGTGGCAGGGAAGAAAAACCTCAATGGGGATTTTGTGGCTAGTTGCCAGGAAAACACCTCTTCTAGATTAATACAGGAATCCTAGGCATATTATCATTTGAGTGCAGGTCCCATCGATTTCAACAGAATACCCAAGTGGGCTTAGGGAGGAGAATAATAAGTAAAGAGTAAACATCTTTGGACTGCAATTGTGTGTGTACTTGCCTAGCAGTTCCACTGAAATCTTTAGGGCTTACTTCTGAGTAAACAGTAGGATTGGGACTGCTACTCACCCACTTTGGAAGAACAATTCTAGGTTTTGCTATAGCCTCTCTATGTTGTATATTAAACATTATGTTCAATTTTCATGGGAGCCTATTATGAAAAATCAAGACGACAACTGCATTTACGGTCGTTTGTTTCCCTTATTTCAATTTTTTTTTTTTTACATAACTGTTTTAATTTAAGGTAATTATTTTAAAAGATCGAAATAAGAGAGGCCAGAGTAATAATAAGTCTTTGTCTTTTGAACATACTTCCTATCTTCTCTCATTTTTGTTCAAAAACTGGAAACGAGTGTTTTTCTTATTAAATTCAGATCTGCTCATTTCTGCTTAAGCTTGGGCTTGTGGGCCACTCTTTTCCAGATCTACTCAGCACAATGGGATCAAGTGCCCATGATTCCTGTGATGGCAAAAATTATTGGAGTAGGGAATAGAGGGGGTACTATAATACAGCTAAGTTGTGGACGGAGAAAATATTTTCTCTATGCTCATAAAACCTTCTAATAAAAAATAAAGGAAAACTCGCACAATATTTCACATGTTCAGAATTGAACCCTGAAATTTATTTATTTTCCTATGCCCATGAAGACTAGAATGTTTTACTCTTTTAAAACATGAATTCCTTATTTTTATATCTCTGGGCCAGGGGTACAAGAACATGGGCTGGAGGTTAGTGGTGCCCTGGAACTTGGGAGAGGGAGAATTGCAGTCTAGCCTCAGGTCCCCGATCTGATGCCCTGTGTGTCTCTGCTCTGTGGTTCACTTGCAGGTGAAAGTCTGGTTCCAGAACAGGCGCATGAAGTGGAGGCACTCCAAGGAGGCGCAGGCGCAGAAGGACAAAGAGAAGGAGCCAGAAGAGAAGCCAGCAGGGGGTGCTGCGCCGACAGTCGAGGGAGAGGTGGAGCGCAGCCCTAGCCGCTCAGAAGGCGAGAGCGAAAGCAGCGAGGCCGAATCCCTGGATCTGGAGCCCGGCAGCGATGCAGAACGGACTGAGGCGGGGGCCGACCCCGAGCAGGCCCTGCAACGGCACAGCCCCGAGCTGCAACACCCGGCCGGATCGGAGACTGCAGTTCACCCTGAGCCGCCTTTGGCTCCCACAGGCCTGGACCAAGGCAGAGAACCTCTAAGGCGCCTGGAGCCTTCTTTTTGCCTACGGGACTCCCCATGACTGCCTCTCAGAGAACCAGCTATCTGTTTGGGAAGCTGCCAAAAGCCGAGTGATCGCCCTGCTTGGGAAATAGTAGCACCCCCTAACTGCAGGTGGGTGTGGGGTACAATAACCCCTAGGAAATATGTTATTTTTTTATGAGGTAAACTACCTCTGAACTGCCAGATTTGGGGTACTAACCTCTGCTGCAGGTGGGAAGATCAGAGGTTTCTCGAACTATGTAGGGCATCAGCCCACAGCAGTGAGTGGGCTGTGGGGAGAGGGCAGTCCTGCTCAGCCTCAGGATCTAATAGGAAGTAAACTCACAGAAGTAGCTCAGGGGAGACCTTTCCCATCTTTGCTGGCAGAGGAGCCTTCCCGGGTCCAGGAAATCACAGAGACCATGTCTTCTTCTTTGTCCTTCTCTAACTCCCCCACCTGCCAACCCTCATTCACAATGTGAAGTATTTCACCAACCCCAACCCCTTGCCAAAATGTGTTGCTTTGTGTAATCTGGCCAAGAAATACTGCACTGAAAAAAAAGAACAGAAAAGTAGACTGTAAATAAATTGTTTGTTTAATTTGTGATGTCTGGTTTTGTTACTAGATAGAACAGCCTAGTTGGGCTGATCCACAACTGGGACACAATTAAGACCTTTAGAGGCTCCAAATTATCTTCTGTACCATGAAAATAAATAAAAACAGTATTAAAAAAGAGAGGTTTTGGTACCCTCATATATATCTAATTCAAAATATAAACAATAATAAACCATAAAATAAAATTTTATTTTCCAAAATGAAACAAAACCTACAGCAAGATGGAAAACAATGTTTATTTTTGTATACTTCCACTTTATTTATATTTGAAAAAAATTCTACTTTTTTCTAATTGCAAAGTCTTTGATCAGATCCTCAGAACTAATTTTACATAACACATCTGCTTCTATACTTAGTAGAGCTAAGGCATTCAACCTGCCCTATTGGCGTAGTTGTTCTGTTGGGATTTTTAATATACTTCAACTGAGAAAATGATCGCTCAGCTGAGCAATTTGTGACTATTAATGTTAAAAATCCAGCAATGGAAAAATTCTGTGGTGCCCCCCTTCCCATGATGCCCTAAGCACGTGCTTATTTTGCTTAATGGTTAATCCAGCCCTGCTGGGACACTTAGAGTGAGACAACTCCTTGACTGAAGCCTTTTTTCCAAGGTGGAAAACCTGTGTCCTGCCAAATGTTGTTGGTCTCCAATTGCCATCAGTATCAGCCATCATGGCCTGGCCGATAGCCAGGTATGATGGGAATGGGAGTCCAGAAACATTTCAAGGGCCACATGGGCATAGCCAGTAATTTTGTTGGGGGGGGGGCAGCCAAAGTTGTTGAGCATTTTTTTTAAGGAAATCACCCCATAAAGATGACATCACGTGGGGCAGGCTTCTGGTAAAGGGGGGGCAGAACCTCAGATAATTAAGTAATTTCAATGCTTTTCAATAATATTTGTGGATCTTGGCTACGCCCATGGAGGGCGACATATTCCCCGCCCTAGATTCAACCCTTCCCCCCAATTCTTACTCACTGTATCAGCAGCAGGAACAGACATTCCACTTATGATGACTGCTTTAAAAAATAATTTTAAACATCAAAGAGAAATTTGTGGACTAAATCAGCTTCAGTTCTTGAGCTGAGGAAGCCACAGTTGGTAGGCTTTCACTTTGCTCCTTTACGCTTCTAAATGTTTAGTGGACCTTAGATTAACTTATGCTGCAGGGAGTAGGGCCCTTTCCTTTTAATAGGTTAAATAAAACCAATGGTTTTGTCATAAGAAATTGCATTTAAATATAACTGATCACTTAGGGGCTGTCACCTTTCTCGTTTTTTATTTCTAGTAGAAGTGGCTTTACTATAGGTGAAAGCTGCCATCATAATAATAAATGTTTTAATAATAAACTCAAAATAAATATTTAAAATAAAAGAATTGGTGCCACACAGGCAGTCCTAAGAACAGTTTCTAAGCAACTGGATCTCATGCCCCTGGAGTTAGAAGCTAGTCTGCAGCCCTTTCTGCACTTACCTGGGAGTAAGCATCATTGAATTCAATAGGTCTTACTTCTGAATAGGCATGCTTGGCTTGCACTTTGTCTGACTGTGTTTCATGGTGCTTCCTTCCATGTAGGTGTGCATAGGATTGGAACCTTAGTCTGCACACTTACCTAGGAATAAGCCCTATGGAACACAGACTAATTTCAGAATGCACTAGAATGAATCCCAAGTCTTGTTGAACTCTATGGAAAGAATATTTTAGTCAATGTGTTTATTTTACGTTGGAGATAAAAAGATTCAGCATCTAAATGATGCAGCATCACTTAGATAGTAACGCTCTTAGATTACAGTACAACCAAACTTGTAGGGGATAAATCTTAAAAATAGGTGGAGCTCCCCACCTGAATTATTACCTGAATCACAAACTGGAAATTAATTTAAGACTGAAAGCTAGCGCTCTCCCTCTCTCTCGTCCCCTTCTCCCGACAATGCACTCTGTGAATGCATCTGTTCTGTCTTTATGTTACTCGTGCTGAATCTCCGTGCAAGCCCACGAGACAGGTCGGTATTATTCGCACGAGCTCTGGAGATTTCCCCGGGTTAGGCAAAATAACCTGCTAATTATGTGGCTCAGATTAAAGGTTCAGAAATTCCGAGCCAAACTTACTCATTCTTGAGAGCAGATCCACTGAAATACATGAAGTTTTAGTTAGCCGTGAAAAACGAGTCCCTTTGATTTCAGTGGGTCTCCTCTAAAGGATGACTCAAGTCTGGGTCCAGTCCAAAGGGTTCACACGCCTGGACTTCCATGTTGGGTCCCTAGATGTTGCAGGACTACAACTCTCATCATCCGTGTCCATTGGCTAAACTGTTTGGGCATGATGGGAGTTGTAGTTAACAGCATCGGAGGACCCAAGGAGGTTGAGGAATACCAGCCGAAGAAGTCCACAGAAGGCGTCATCGGTTCCCACCAGTTGGCCTAGTCTACTTTCTCCGTGGTTGAGGAAAGCAACGAGAGTCTGACTTCCCATAGACTTCTTCCTTCCCCAGGCAATGAGCCTAATAATCGGAGCCTAAACGGAGCCTCCACATCATTTCTATAATTCGATCCGAGCCACCCGATCTGTTTGCTGGCTAGATGAGGTCTTGTTCTTCCACCTGTAAGCGGGCCACCTTTCTCTGGCCCAGCAGAAATATGGCCCTCCATTATAAAAGCACTAAAGAGAGTGGAAATTCCAATCTAAGTTCATCTAGGCAGGCTCTCCAAAGCGTCCAACAGGTGCCTGTAAACTGGCGTCGTTATCTTCTGAGCGCTGGCTGGAGAGTTGGCCTCGCTGAACTCAGTTGGACTTGATTCGGGTGCGTAAGGTAGATAGTTCTCGTGGTTTAGCCAGGAAGTGATATTTTCCAGTCTGACTTTTTCCTGGCTTCTCAGGAAATCAAGACACAAACACACACATACACACCACAAAACAAATTCCTCATTCTCTTTCTTTGCTTCAACCTCCCATACAAGCGGTGGGGGTGGTTCGAGAGTCTGTTAAAATATAAAGCCTACCGAAAAAAATATCGGTTTCTTTAAGAACAGGGACTTCGTCTTTGGTTTAGGAGATCCGAAGGACGAAAACAGGATATGAAAGATAGAACTCATTCGGTTCCCAGGCCTTCCCCCAAAGCGTTATTTTATTGAGTTAAGAATAAATGGACTAAGCAAACTCCAGCCACCTTCCACATTGCCTGGAATGAAGCGGCAGCGCAGTTCACGCTTCCCGGAAACAGGCGTCTTTTGCTTGACGCGTGTTGTTGAAACACACACGTGTGTGTGTTCTTACGATCTCGGCGGTTTTTTTGGTTCTGATTTTGACTGGTGAGATGGAGGACAATTTAGCAAGCAATCGGGTACAGGAGTCCGTCTCAAAAAGATCACCGCCGTCGCAAAAACCCCTCGAATTAAAAAAAATCACCTTTTGATTTATTTTTTTAATTGCCTCTTTTCATCCTCTTGAAATATGACGTTCCTCGTATAAGCTGCGTAGCGTCAGATGCGCCACACCTTTCTTTGAAAGGCACAAAGACTGGGATTTATTTCCAGTTTAGGATCCGGTCTCTCCGACCAGAGATGCCAACTGGGCGCGCAGACTCGGACTGGAGACGAGGCGAGCTCTTGAATTCTCCTGCGTTTGGCGGCTGAGTCCCTTTCTCAGGAAACAGGGGGACTTCTGCCGCAGAAAAAGGACTGAGATTTAAGCTTCAGGTACTCAAGAACTGGAGAGGTCAATCACGCTGAATTCAGCTTGGAAGTAATTGCAAGCGAGTTTCACTCGACCGAACGAGCGAGCCTTCCCACATATTTAGGATAGGATAAGGGATAAGGGTCAAACGACCCGTCGAAATCTGAAAAGGATACAGGCGGTCAGTGGTACAATTTCAGGCCAAAGAGACTGACTTGCATTGAAATGTTTCCCGGATTGAACGTGTAGCCTTTGGGATGGCACGAGAGGGAGATCCCGATAGCGCGCCGCTCGAAAAGCACTTTTCAGAGAAGGGAAATCCCAGAGTTCGCATATGCAGGCTAAAAAATATATGATTCCATGACTCGCCCGCGTGGAACATTATTTCAGAGTGAAATAGAAAGCTGTGATGATTCTTTTTTTCCTGGGTAGCCTCTCCATCTTAAACACACAACAATGCGCTTTGAAATGCAAGGAAAGTCCCTTCCCGGCGAGCTCCGCGCTTCCGCGAGTCCCGGGCGGGCCCGCTTCCAACATCTGCTTAGGACTGGGGGGTGGGGGGTAAATAAGTTCTTGTTTTTAATATTAACTCTGTTTCTCAGTCGCTTCGGGGGTTCACGCTCTGGACAGAAAGGCGGGGGTAAGCTCCTAAAATTAGGATATTGAATAGGTATTGAGGATGGAGTCTCCGTCGTTCAAGAATTTCAGCCTTACTGGTCATGGCGCAGGAAATTTTAGACTCTACACTATATGATATTTAAGGGATTTGGGGTCGTCCCCAATTCCTTCTTCCAAAATGTGGTGAGCCGGCCCAGCTTGCGTTGGGGGCCCTCGGCTCAATCTGCGGTGAGGAAGGGGCTCTGGGGTTTCTCCCCAAAGACAACATCTCCCGCTGCTCACGTGGGGGCTCCGCATGTTACAGGAGTCCAGCCACGAATGCCATAATTTCATATTCCTAAAGATTCGAGCGTTTCCCCCTCCCTTTCCCAGAAACACAATGGACCTCTGTGTGCAGCTGAAGTGAAAAATGTTGAAAAAGTCCTGTTGATTTCAAGAGAGGGTTGAAAACCACCTGCTTAATACTCAGATTCCAAAGAATAAATAAATGGTGCAACGCTTCCTATGGGCGGGATCGGCCCGATTGCTAAAGCGAATTGCCGAATATATGCCCATATATACGTACTGTGCACACACGTATAAAATAAGGAGTCACACAAATATAGTTGCTGGCGAAGCGAAGCCAAGGAAACATTTTTTGTGAGGGTGTGCCTCCTGCAAATTTCATATTTGTCCGTCAAGAAACGGGCAACGGCACAATAATCTGGAATTAATGCATGGTTTGGGGACGGCCTCGCAGGCCTGCTTTTTACCCGGCACAAAGAGTCTCTCAAGAGCTGTGCAGGCAGATTAAAATGATA